CAGACTCTGCTTCCCACCACGTGGGCGGCTGGGGACCCGAGCTAAAGCGCAGCCGCTGGCGTGGGAAACAAAGGATGCTGCGGGTCTTCATTGCGGTGAGATACGCATACGCCGCAAGATCTGCAGCCCGATGGGTTTCGGTGCGCAGTTCGCCACATTAAGGATGCCCCGTTGTCGCCAGCCACCGCCACCGCCGGTCTCCAGGTGACGGGGTCCCAGACCAAACCCCGCTCCGTGACCGCCAACTCCACCTCCTGGCCCCGCAGCCGCCACCTCCCCCCACGTCCACCTGCTGGGGGCGCACACGGGCGTCGCCGACCTCTGCCCTGCCGTGGCCGACCTCTGCCCTGCCGCGGCCGACCTCTGCCCTGCCGCGGCCGACCTCTGCCCTGCCGTGGCCGGCCGTCTCACCGGCGCGGCGTCCCCGGGAGTCCTTTGCCGCACGGATCCCCCGCTGTTGAGGCCGAGCGGCGTTCCGTGACAGGACAGGCCACGCTCTCCTGGCCCTCCCGTCGGGGGACGCTGGGCCCCTCCCGGCCGCGGCTCCGTGTCCTCCCCGTCCTCACGGGCGTCGTTCTGGCAAGGCGGCGGCGCCGTCCCGAGCAAACGCGCACAGCCAGGTGCGCACACCCGGCCGCTAGCGTGACATGTGCGGCCGCCTTGGGAGGCGGTTGGCGGCTCCTCCGAAGGTCCCCACCCGCGGCCCGGCGTGCACGCCAGGGAGACGGCCACGCCTGCACGCGCAGCAGCCGGTCGTGCGTGCTCGCAACGCGGCGCTCGGGCCAGAGGCGGGAGTGGCCCGTGCCCCGCGCAGAGGGAGGCACGGACGGCGCGGCCGTGCGCTGTTGGCCCAGGAAAGGCGGGAAACGCAGCGCGGGCTGCCCTCCGCATGCGCCTTGGAAGCGTGACGCTGGGTGAACGGCCGGCTTGGAAGGGCACACGCGTGCTACGCTGAATCGCACACTTATAAAAAAGAAAAAAAGCGGGTGACTGCCCTCGAAACCGCTGTCGTCCCCATTTTACAGATGGGGACACTGAGGCCCAGGGACTTAAGAGACTTGCCCAGGGCACGGAGCTGGGGCGCGAGAGGCGGCATTCCCTCTTCGGCCACTCCGCCCACTCCGCCCCGCGGCCACACGCGGGACCCGCACAGCAGGGCTCCCGGGCCTGGGCGGGTCTCCGGCCTCCCCGCTGGGTCTCTGCGCGGGCGCGTGCCGAGTGGGCGTGCCGGTGGCGGCGCTGGGCCTGGGCGGAGCGCGGCTCTTCTTTCTCCGCTGCGGGAGCGAGGAGGGCACAGCCGTGGTCTCGGGGCGAGCATGGGCCCGGGGCCGTCACCTCCCGCGCGCTGCCCCGTGGGAGCCAGGCCGGCACCCGGTCCTGCCGCCAGCACGTGGGTGTTCCCGACAGCCCCCCTAGCTCGGGCAGACACGTCCCCCCGTTGCCATGGAGACAGGCGCCCTCCCCTATGGAGAGGGACAGTCACCACCTCGCTGGGCTGGGAGCCAGCGCGGCCCAAGGGCAGACGGGAGCCCCAGGAAGCCGCCCCTCGGGCCGAGACCTGGGAGGGGCAGCCCGGCGCTCCAAGGGGGGGCAGGGGGCGCCGTGCCCCAACACCCAGAGCTCGGAGGGGAGGCCGGCCGGCGGCTCTCTGCGCCTCTGGGGACAGGCCCTGTGACCTCCAGCCTCGTTTTCTTCATCTGAAAAATCCAGATCTCAGTCTCTCCCTGGCAACCTGGTTTTAGGGAATCGCTTGTTCATTCAACCAGCATCCACTGAGCTCAGCCTAAAGGCCAGGCCTGGGGCGAGGGCGCGGGCGGGAGTCCTCGTCCTCCTTGTCAGCCAGGAATTTCATCTGGGGCAGTGCCTGCCGGGAGACGCAGGGAGGGCGAGGCGTGAGGGGGAGGGATTGATCAGTGATGTCTGCCGTGAGCACAGGCGAGGGGTGTGGATTGATCAGTGGTGTCTGCCGTGAGCGTGGGCGAGGGGTGTGGATTGATCAGTGGTGTCTGCCGTGAGCGTGGGCGAGGGGTGTGGATTGATCAGTGGATGGTTCTGCCGTACACGCGAGGGTGTGATGATCAGTGGTGCTGCTGTGAGCACAGCGAGAGGGGTGGATTTGACAGTGTGTCGCGGTGGCGTGAGCGGCGAGGGGTGGGATGATCAGTGGTCCTGGATCACACGAGGGGCGTGATGATCATGGTCTTCCGTGACACAGGCGAGGGTGTGGATTGATCATGTGTCGCCGTGAGCGTGGGGGAGGTGTGGATTGATCAGTTGGTTCGCCGGGCCACAGGCGAGGGTGTGGATTGATCAGTGGTGTCTGCCGTGAGCACAGGCAGGGCCGGGATTGAATCAGCTGGTGTCTGCCGTGGAAGCACAGGCAGGGTGGATATCAGTGGTCTGCCCCGGAGCACAGGCGAGGGTGTGGATGTGTCAGTGGGTCTGCCGTCGAGGCTGGCGAGGGTGGTGGATTGATAGTGCGTTCTGCGTGAGCGGTGGGGGAGGGGTGGTGCATTGATCAGCTGGTGGTCTGCGTGAGCCGAGGGGGAGGGGTGGTGATGACAGTGGTGTCTGCCGTGAGCACAGCGAGGTGTGTGGATGATAGGGTGCTCGCCGTGAGCGTCGGGGAGGGTGTGGATTGATCAGACGTGGGTCGTCTGCCGTTGAGCACAGGCGAGGGTGTGGATTGATCAGTGTGTCTGCCGTGAGCCAGCGAGTGTGTGGAGATCAGTGTGTCTGCCGGAGCGTGCGAGGGGTGTGGATTGATCAGTGTTGCGTGACACAGGCGAGGGTGTGGATGACAGTGGGTCTGCCGTGAGCACAGGCGAGGGTTGGATGAAGTGGGTCCTCCGTGAGCGGGGAGGGGTGTGATTGATCATGTGTCTCCGTGAGCACAGCGAGGTGTGATGATCAGTGTGGTCTCCTGTGAGCACAGGCGAGGGTGTGGATTGATCAGTGTGTCCTTGCCGAGAGCACAGGCGAGGTGTGGATTGATCAGTGGTTCGCGTTGAGCCGGGAGGTTGGATGATCAGGGTGTCGCCGTGGCCAGCGAGGTGTGATTGATCATGTGGTGTCTGCGTAGCGGTGGCGAGGGCGTGGATTGATCAGTGTGTCGCCTGAGCGTGGGGAGGGGTGTGGATTGATCAGTGTGTCTGCTGTGAGCACAGGCGAGGAGTGGATGATCAGTGGTGTCTGCCGGAGCGTGCGAGGGTTGATTGATCAGTGTGTCGCTGAGCACAGGCGAGGGGTGGATTGATCAGTGGTGGGCTGCCCGGAGCGTGGGCGAGGGGTGTGATGATCATGGTGTCCTGCCGTGAGAGTGGGGCGAAGGGGTTGGAGTGACAGTGTGTCTCCGTGAGCGTTGGGCGAGGTGTGGATGATCAGGTCTGCCAGCGTGGCGAGGGTTGGTTGATCAGGTGTGCTGACGTGAGCACAGGCGAGCGGTGTGGATTGATCATGGGTCTGCCTGGCAACAGGCAGGTGTGATTGATCAGTGGTGTCTCCGTGAGCGTGGGCGAGGGTGTGGATTGATCATGGTCTGCCGTGAGCACCAGGCGGGGGTGCTGATTGATCAGTGTGTCGCCGTGAGCTACAGGCCAGGGTGTGGTTGATCAGTGGTGTCTCCGTGAGTGTGGCGAGGTGGATTGACAGGTGGTCTGCTGTGAGCCACAGCGAGGGGTGATTTGACCAGTGGTCTGCCGGACGTGGCGAGGTGTGATTGATCAGTGGTGTCGCCGGAGCATGGCGAGGGTGTGATTGACAGTGTGCTGCGTGAGCACAGGCGAGGGTGGGATTGATCAGTGGTGTCTGCGTGACACGGGCGAGGGTGTGGATTGATCGAGTGGGCTGCCCTGAGCACCAGCGAAGGGGTGGATGATCAGTGAGCTGCTTGAGCACGGCGAGGTGTGTGATTGAATCAGTTGGGTCTGCCGGAGCACAGCAGGGGTGTGGATTGATCAGTGTGTCTCGGAGCGGGGGAGGGGTGGATGATCATGTGTCTGCCGTGAGCACCGCAGGGTGTGGAGGATCAGTGGTGTCTGCGTGAGACAGGCGAGGGTTGATTGATCAGGTGTGTCCGTGACACAGCGAGGGTGTGGATTGAGTCATCTGGTGTCGCCGTGAGCGGGCGAGGTGTGGATGATCAGTGGTTCGCCGTGAGCGTGGCGAGGGGTGTGATTGATCAGTGAGTCGCCGTGAGCACAGCGAGGTGTGATGATCATCGGGCTGCCGGACGTGCGAGGGGTGATTGATCAGTGTTGGTCGCCGTGAGCACAGCGAGGGGTTGATTGATCAGTGGTGTCTGCCGTGAGTAGCAGGCGAGGGTGTGGATTGATCAGTGTCGCTAGCCAGGCAGGTTGATGACAGTGTGCTGCGTGAGTACAGGCGAGGGTGTGATTGATAGTAGTCGTGCCGTGAGCGTGGGGGGAGGTGTGATTGATCAGTGGTCTGCCGTGAGCGGGCGAGGTGTGGATGGATCAGTGTGCTGCGTGCAACAGGCAGGGTGTGGATGATCAGTGGTGTCGCCGTGAGCGGGGGAGGGTTTGAGTTGATCCAGTGTGTTCTGCCGTGAGCGTGGCGAGGCGTGATTGATCAGGTGTCTGCCGTGGCACAGGCAGGGCGTGGATTGATCATGGTGGTCTGCCGTGAGCACAGGCGAGGGTGTGGATTGATCTAGTGATTCTGCCGTTGAGCGTGCCGAGGTGGATTGATCAGTGGTGTCTGCCGTGAGCACAGGCGAGGTGAGATCAGTGGTCTGCCGTAGCACAGGCGATGGGTGATGACAGTGGGTCTGCCGTGACACAGCGAGGGTGGGATGATCAGGTGCGCCGTGAGCGTGGGCGAGGGTGTGATGACAGTAGTTGCTGCCGTGAGCGGGCGAGGGTGTGATGATCAGGTGGTGCTCCTGAGCGTGGGCGAGGGTGGATTGATCAGTGTGTCTCCGGAGCCGTGGCGAGGGTGTGGATTGATCAGTGGTTTCTGCCGGAGCACAGGCGAGGTGGTGGATGATCAGTGGTGTCTGCCGTGAGCTGGGGAGGTGGGATTGACAGTGGTGTCTGCGTGAGACAGCGAGGGGTTGTGGATTGACAGTGGGTCTGCGTGAGTACAGCCCGGGGGTGTGGAGTGACAGTTGTCTCTACGAGGCAGGTGTGGATTGATCAGTGGTGTTCGCCGTGAGCGGTGGCCGAGGTGGGATGATCGTGTTCCCGTGACGGGGGAGGTGTGATGACAGTGGTGTCTGCCGTGACCAGGCAGGGTGTGATGATCAGTGGTGTCGCCGGAGCGTGGGGAGGGGTGGTGGATTGATCAGTGTTCTGCCGTGACACGGCGAGTGTGATGACAGTGGTCCTGCCGTGAGCACAGCGAGGGGTGTGATTGACAGTGGTGTCTCCGTGACGAGCGAGGGTGTGTGATTGAGTCCGTGGGTCTGCCGTGAGCGTGGGCGAGGGGTGCTTGGAGATCAAGTGGTGTTTCTGTGACACAGGCAGGGGTGGTGGATTGACGTGGGTCTGCCTGAGCACAGCGAGGGTTGTGATGACAGGTGCTGCCGTCAGCGTGGGCGAGGGTTGATTTGATCAGTGTGTCTCCGTGAGCACAGGCGAAGGGTGTGGATTGATCAGTGTCTGCCGTGAGCACAGGCGAGGGGTGTGAGTGATCAGTGGTCTGCGTTGAGTGTGGCGAGGGGGTGGAATTGATCATGATTCTGCGTGACGTGGCGAGGTGTGGATGATCAGTGGTGTCTGCGTGGAGCGTGGGAGTGTGATTGATCAGGGTTCCTCCGTGAGCACAGGCGAGGGGTGGGTGAGTCAGTGGTGTCTGCCTGAGCGGTGGGCGAGGGGGTGGATTGATCAGTGGTGTCCGCCGGACACAGGCGATGGGTGGATGATCAGTGTGCTCCGTGAGCGAGGCGAGGGGTGATGATCAGTGGTGTCTCGTGAGCACAGGCGAGGTTGTGGAGATCAGTGTGTCTGCCGTGAGACGTGCGAGGGTGTGGATGACATGGTCTGCCGTAGCACAGGGAGGGTTGTGGATTGAACAGCTGGTCGCCGTGAGCGTGGCGAGGGGTGTGGATTGATCACTGGTGCGCCGTGAGCAAGCGAGGGTGTTGATTGAGCGGAGTGGTCTGCTGGAGCCACAGGCGAGGTGTGGATGTCAGTGGTGGTTCCGTGACGAGGGCGAGGCTGGATTGACTGGTTCGCCGTGACGTGGGCGAGGGGTGGGGCCGGTGGCTCAGCTGGGCGGCCGGGTGGTCATGGCGCAGCCTGCGTGACCGCAGCCGCGGCTGCCGTGGTGAAGCGGCCGCAGCCCCTCTGCGCCAGCGGAACCAGCCCATCTCCGTGACTAAACGCTTCGCGTGTGTTGGCTGGTTGTGACGCAGGTGTCGTCTGCCTGGCTGTCTGCGATGTTGTGTGTGTGTGGCGGTGTGAGCCTGTTCTCTGCACGGGTTCCGGTGTTCCTGGCGGGTGTGGGGTGGACGTGCACGAAGGGGTCTGTCTGCCCATTTGTCGGTAGATGTGTGTGCATTTGGAGTGCGCGCTGCTCTGGCACATTGTTGTCTCTGGCTTGCTGGGGCATGTCACGATGCAGGGATCCGTCTTCGTGTTTTCGTTGAAATTGTGTGTGCGGTGTGAGTGTGCGGTCTCTGCACGGCCGTCCTGCGTGGGAGACGTGTGTCGCGGGGGTCTGCCGCCTGTGTCGCTGTCGAAGGTTTGTCACGCGTGTGTAAGTGTCGTCATCCTGCACGGGTCGTGTCTCTGGCGTGCGTGGCGGCTGTCCGACGTGACCAAACTGTCCGTGCCGTTGTCGGCAGGTTTGCACGCGTGGGTGACGTGCGTCGTCTGCACGGGGCACGTGTCGCTGTTGGTGTCCATAGGGTGTCGAGTGACCCTGACGCTCGGCGTTGAGTGAGCGTGTCTCCGTGTCTGTGGGTGAGGTGACATGCGTTGAGTGCACGCGTAGCCCGCCGCACCGCCTTCCGTTGTCAGGGAACGGTGGCCTGCCTGGAGAGGTGGCAGCGCCATCGTCCATGGCCTCGGTACCCTCTCCTCGACTTGGCTTTCAGGCCGAGGCGATGCCCTTCACCTGTGGGAGAGGATTAGGGACTTCCGGTGCCAGATCTACTTGGTTCCTACCATCTGCTTGTCGAAAGCCCAGTTCCAACAAAACACATTCATGACATCAAGGAAAACTGGCTACTCGTACCGCTCCAGGCAGCCTCCAGCCTGCCCACGGAGAGGAGGGCTGGGCGCCCCTTTGTTGGGACCGCCCCCACGCTCACACGCGCGTCGCAGCCACGCCTGGGCACGAGCAGGAAGTGCCAAAGCCAATGACCCTTAGAGGCAAGCTTGCTGTTAATCCCATTTTAACGAGACAAGCTGAAACAAGTGGTGGTATGACTTGCTGGCCACACCCAGCGATGTGCAAGCTGGTTGGAGCCGCTGAGCGGCAAGCCGTCCAGCACTCCAGGCCGTGGCTAGGCCGGCCGGCTAGTGCTGCTGTGGCTGTCTTCTTCAAGCGGCTTGTTCCCCCTGCTGTCTTTTCCACTCGCGGCGGCGCCGAGGCATGCTAGCTCACATTCTTCTTGCGCGGCCAAGTGAGCCTGGGCGGTCGCGGTGTTTGAT